AATCCTAGACCATGCTGACGAGTATCCAAAAAGCATGAAACGGCTGTCCATGATGGGCTGTCTTTGGCCGGATGGACAAAATTAGCATTACCTTATTTTCATGTTTGATTTTTTGGAATCGGCCGATTCATTTTCGAGAAAATTGGAAAAACCTTTATTTATCTTAAATTGTTCAAATAGAAAACAAAAACAGACGAAAATATCACTTTTTATTCCGATAAGTGTTCAGAATGTACAATTCGTTTATAATTTGAAACGGAAACTACCAACATAAACTGCAGTTCGGAAGATTAGACGTGTCAACAACCAAATAACAACCCGAATTTTTTCCGTACTCTTTTCATCAACACAGATATCCTGGGCGAACGGTATTTATTATTATACCTAGTTATTTGTTGCTAAGGGAAAGAAATAATTTAATTTGCTGTCAGTTACCTTTGTGACAATCTTGGGCTAGTGAAAATTAATTTATTGATTCAGATTTTACTTCCAAAATGGCTTACACACAGGATGAAGCCGCTCAAGTTGAAATATTGGGTTATTTAGGAATATATACTAATACTTTATTACACAAAATTGTTGCTGGGACTGGTTTTTCATTAGGCTCTGTACACACACTTACTTAACTCCATAAATTTCATCCATTCTAATTGAAAATATTGCAAGATTTAACCGTAGATGATTTCGATAGACGAGTTGAGTTTTATGAACAAATGACTGCAGAGCTTAATGAGAATACCATTCATGTAAAGAATATCTGCTTCAGTGACGAATGTACATTTTATCTAAATGGATTTGTTGATAAGCATAACTGCAGGTATTGGAGAAATGAAAGTCCTCATGCTTTTGTAGAACAAGTACCTCCAAAAAATTTATGTATGGGCAGGCATTTTAGGTAACGAAGTGATTGGGCCACTGCTTATTAATGGATATTTGAATGGAGACATTCATTTGGATATGTTGAAAAATACCATCAATCCGCTTATCACTGAAATCATTGGAAATTGAATCAAAGAGGATGGAAACCCAATTCTTGATGAAGCTGAAATATATTTCCAGCAAGATGGCGCTCCTCCTCACTATGTGCTTCCGGTTCGGCAATGGCTAGAAGACGAGTTTCCAGATAACTGGATAGGGCGAAGAGGGCATATAGAGTAGCCTGCTTGATCTCCTGATTTGACGCCACTAGGTTTTTTAATGGGGCCAAATCTATTGTGTTTACTCCCCAAACCTGAAGGTTTGAATGAACTTCGTCAACGCATCATCGAAAGCTGCCATGATATCCCACAACATGTTTTTGAAAATGTCCGTCAGGAATTTGAACATCGCCTATATCATTGTTTGCCCAATAATGGGCAACATTTAGAACATTATTGAAATCAAAAGTGATATTTTCGTGTATTTCTGTTTTCTATCTGAACAAATTAAGATAAACAAAGATTTTTCTAATTTTCTTGAAAACGAATTGACCGATTTAAAAAAATCAAACGTCAAAATAAAGTACTTTGAAAGACCTTTCAAACAAGCTATTACTTGATACCCCTTCTCATTCATGGGGATGACCCTGGGGGGCAGAGGGTGAAAGAGGGTGAAGAAGTTTTTGGTTAAAACGTTGTCTCCCTTGACAAATCTTTTGACATGTCAGTGGTTTTCGATAAATCCGTGGTGAGAACTTTTTAAATGAACATCCTGTATAATCATCATCTTCGTTTGCACAGTTCTTTCTTGTATTTGATGTTTTACATTTATCATAGGCACTATAGTCTGAAAAAAATTATTCTGGAATTACTTCTAAATACACTGCGACTTGAAATGCTTTGTTTTCTGCCGGAATATCTAGCTTCAGCTTAAGAGCTACTAATAAATAAATAAATAAATAAAAACGCCTTTATTTTAAACTCGGCGAAGGCCAGCTATGCTGTTAACTTAACCGAGCATGTAAAAAGTAACAACAAGCCAAAAAGAAAAGTAATATGACAAGAAACAAGTTTTACATTACATTAATTTTAGAATATTACATAACAACAATGAACAATAATAACAACAGATGTACGTATACAAAGAAAATAAGCAATAATAAACAACTTATACATACTTCACAGAAGCAGTTGTTTCAGTTTTCGTTTGAACATATTAGGAGACATATCTTCAAATTGACCTATATTGTATTGGTATACACATTTAAATGGAACTGGTAATATTTCTTTCGATGGAGTATTTAATATAGATGTGTTTTTCAGATTGTTTCCTCTTTCGCGCTTAAAAAAATGAACTCCTATCACTTTGATAATGTAAAATGAAATAACGCTCGTTTTTTAGGATTATGTTTTACGGGAAATTACTGGTGTGTTAATAGCTTAGAATTAGGGGCCACGCACCTTAGAAATCGTATCACGAAATGGTAAATATATTAGTGACTGAAAGATAGTTTTAAATTTTTTGATGTCGTTCACTAATGCCGACCTGCAAATCGCGTGTTAATTCTGTTGCGATTTTGGTTCTATATTGAAGATTAATATTGCCCTACTAAATGGATGACACTATGATAAAATTCCATAAGATTTTCTATCCTAATATTTTTTCATATAGAAAGTCCTTATCTGTTGTCTTAAGGTGGTGTTTTGGAGAAACAGAAAAACAAAAAAGTCAGGCCCGAGCAAGCTGAAGGATCTAAGGGAGCATGTAGATCGGCGATAAATTGGGAGCAGTCAGGGTCGCTTAAGGGTCCAACCGATGATGTGGGTCAAGCGGTTAAGCCATCGGGTGAGTTATCGATGAAAAGGGTTGAATGTTAGGGGACGCTGGATATTACTAGGGAAGTAGCGACTGTGTGGGCAAGTAATCCTATCTATTGGTTTGAACTGAAGAAAGTCTGGTGGAATTGTTACAAAAATGAGATTACGTCGCTACTCGCCCTGTAGAAATAAGCTAAGAGGTATTGCCTCAATCATTGGAAGTTTGTCAGCTACTTATCAAGACTGTCACCACACACCTAATGTCAAAAAATTACTTTACCTACTTTCAAACACATGCTATAAACAAATATGCTTTCGAGAAACAATAAAAATGAGATTATGAAAAGTTTGATTACAACTAAACAGAAGTAATAATCAAACTGTAATAATAGAAATGTTGATCCATAAACCTGCTATTGCAAGATATTATCTTGCTTTTACAAGTTTCAGTAATTTTGAAATTTCCAGCTACCTATGGCAGGGCAGACCAATTGGTTCCTTACTGGAGTAATGCTGAGTTTGTTTGGATAAGACTTGAGTGGGAAATCAGTTTTATCTATACACTCTACTGCGAAACTTTGTGTTTGTTAAGGAGGGAGAATTGATAACTAGGCTATAATTTTGTGTTTATACTCTATGAGAACTCGCACCCATTAAGTCAGCAACAAAGTTTCATCACTAATAGTAAACAATATGGTATTTATGTTTATTGTCTCACTCGCATGAGCAAGAGACGTATTGCCTTGACAGAGTTTTTACAATTCGACAAAGTGTTTTTAGGTCACCTACCCCATTATTCTACTTACTGATTTGACATACAAGCAGAACAACCTAAAAAAAAATAATACAAACACCATTTTGCATTTCTGCACAGTTGTGGGTAGTTGGAAATTATTGCGGAAGAGTCCAATTTTAAGAACATCCTTCCATTTTAATAGCAGTTTCTCAAGTTCTTAGTATAGTAACTATTTCAATGGTTCTTAAAAATTGAAATTAGTTAAACCGTACCTTTCTTTGGTTGAGTGATGGGTTACTTGGTCGTGTGTCACGTGCCAAAATCACGTAACGTTCTAGAAGAAGGTATCTTGAGTGGCCTTCAAGAAGATATGTTTTATGCGAAATCCACTAACGGAGAAAAACTACAGAGCTTTTTTGCTGATCGTTAACACCAGACTGAATCGCTGAGAAAGAAAGATATAATACCAGTGAAATTATAGAATCAATAAACTATTAAATTTGCCAAAAGAAAATCATTGAAAAGGAATGGGCACTCTATTATCAATGAAGAGAAATTCAAATTGCTGATAAGTGATAAATAGAAAAAAAAGGTTACGTGATTTTGGCACGTTACAACCGATATTTTACCTGTTCACATCAAGGTTTTTCTTCAAGGAGATGGCTTCCACCAATTTGCAAAACTGCAACAAGATGCAACCAACTGAAGGAGAAAGGGTGATGATTCTCTTCTGTTTCTATTGACTAAAAGAAAGCAGATATTGAACGAACATCATCAGGACACGCATCAACGCACGTGGTCCGAAGGTATATAAAAAAAAGAACTTACCGATGAGGGTCAAAATCCCATACAAAAAATGGAAGACGTAGCACCCAAGCCAAAATGACTAAACTTAAGTTACACAAAAAAGGGTGCTAGTCCATGAATTGGCGCTTGGGGCCTAATATCCTAGAGTCCGGAAAATGACGAAACGACTCCTGCACCGCGACCTCAACGGAGACAGAAAAGCGAATCATGCAGAACACGTAACGTTCTAGAAGAAGGTATCTTGAGTGGCCTTGAAGAAGATATGTTTTATAGGAAACCAACTAACGGAGAAAAACTACAGAGCATTTTTGCTGATCGTCACCACCATACTGAATCGCTGAGAAAGAAAGATATAATACCAGTGAAATTATACAATCAATAAACTAATAAATTTGCCAAAAGAAAATCATTGAAAAGGGTTTGGCCTAGGAATGGGCACCCTACTATCAATGAAGAGAAATTAAAATTACTGATAAGTGATAAATAGAAAAGAAAAAGGTTACGTGATTTTGGCACGTTACAGGTGGCTATTAACTTTTGTGGGTCAAAACCTTTTGATATGCCTAACATCATTCATAGAACACAACAAAGAGTCAGTCACCCTTTCAAGCATTTTTGGTATTTGAGTCTACAGCGAACGGACAGTGACAAATACAGCGTGTCATAACGTTAATCTCATCTGATGTTATAATATTTCTTTGCACATATCAATGAAGCTGACGCTCTGTTGGTACCAGAACTGCTGCTAATGATACGCCCTTTGATCCCCAAAACATTTAGTGGTCATGATTCTTAGGAAGAACATCGTTTTGAGTCTAGAAAAAATACAAATATTTAATACTCCGACGCATTATCACATTATCATCTGTGGTTTCCAAATATACAGTTCCACGGAAATCAGTGCAGGTGTTACTGAGATTACGTGGTAAATCGTAGGAGCAGTCAGACAGATGAATGCGACTGATAAGGACTTCCATGAAGTATCACGTTTACCTTATTCAGTTGCAATATTGCGCTGGAACTACAAGGGTAAAATAATATTGTGATCCCTATATACAGTTTTCTGCGGCTTAGATGCTTTTTACGTGGGAAGCTAACACGATGGGGTTTAAAAACCCTTACTTCATTTTCCACTGCTCTGAACTTCTCTGTTTGTAGGTCACAGCAACAGCCGGCGAGTGAGAGTATTGAGCTTGGACGCGTCCCAGGAAAGGATAAAGTTCATCCACGACTTCGTACAGAGCAAGTACGTAGTCTATAAAAGGGATAGAGGAAGAGAGGATGGAAGTAGAGGAGAGGGTAGGAAGTCTGTTCCCTCGGCTTTGGAGTGGAGGTGAGTGGGTCGTTAGAGGAGTGGTTGATGTTGTTGTTTTATGGTACCAAAAAAATGTTGAGTACGTTGACACTTTACTTTCCACGCAACAGTTTACACAGCGGTGTCGCTAGGCGAACACTCTGAGTATTATTAGCTTAAGTGAAATGTATTTTACTCACACTACTGACACTTAATCACTGCTGCCTAATACATTTTATTGACTACACTTTTGCAGCGACCAAAATTCTGTAAAACGTCAATAAGGATTTTTTAATATTTATCTCCAAAAATTGTTCTACCATTATACCCAGTAAAGACAAACAACATCGGTAAAAATTGAAACACGAAGTCTGAGAACCTTCTGAAATTTTTATTTTTCCGCTCATAGCGAAGTTATGAACGATTTTCAAAACCATAAAGCTTTTTCGTCCCTGACATGGTAAAAATCTTGAGTCAAAATATCAGAATACGAATAGTATCGTGGTATCAAGGACAATCAAACAGAGATACCAACAGAATTGAGCGGCAAGATTTTTTGTGGCGCTCATGTCATGTAACATCGATTTTGACATTATTTGCTATTACAAAGCTTTCCTGGTAACTTGCGTTAGAAATGAAAGTAAAAGGTGAAATAGTTCATTCCTTTTGCAGTCAGATAATATTCATTCTTTAGCATAAGACATTCTTTGGTCCTGATCTCCCTCTTGTGAATAAGTTTGTTTATTTAGAGAAGGTTTGATTTTTTACCAGTAGATGATGATTCGTGCGCGAAGAAGTTTTTAAAATTTAGGATAGATATCTAGAGCATATAAAAATCTTGTTCAACCACAGTATTTGGAAAGAAACAATGAGTTGAGGGAGAAAAGAGAGATGTATATACTTGATCGAAGAGGAATAAAATTGCAAACACAATCTAAGGACAGTAGAGTTATCCTACTCACAGATTAAGTAATAACCAGAAGTAATAAAAATAACTAAATTTTAATCACCTACCTGTTCAATGATTCTTATTGTCTGTCTTTGGAAAAATAACGGAAAACGTGCAAATCCACAATCGTGATCCCTTATGCAAAGATACGGATACACGACGCCACCTTTTCCCTCAACACTCATTAGATATCTGACGTCTGGCACAATGGTCTTTTCTTAAAATTCTGGATAACGTTATCGCATAACTGTCGCTCTATTTCGTCGATAACGCGCCGTATCTCTTTTTTAAGGCGTTCAACTGTTTGTGGCTTGTTCGCATATACCTTTCTCTTCACATAGCCTCAGAGGAAGAAGTCCATTGGTCCGCATTAACACCATTGTTTCGCGTGCTGTGTGGCAGATCGCACCGTCTTGATGGAAGAACATATCCTCCACATCAATTAGATCCAACTGGGTCTAAAAAAACTCGGTTTACATTTCGCGATACCACACACCATTAACAGTTACCGCAGTTCCATTTTCGAAGAAAAACGGTCCAATCACTCTGCCGCTCCACAATGCTCACCTTACGATAACTCTCGGTGGGTGCATTGGTTGTTCGATTATGAGACGAGGGTTTTCAGAACCTCAAATTCGACTTTTTGACGTACCCGTTCAGTTGAAAGTGTGCCTTATCAGAGCAAATTATTTTCTTCAAGAAATCCGCAATTTGGTGGTGCTCCAGCGCCCAATCAACGAATTCACGGCGCTGCGCATGGTCCGTGGGCTTGAGTTCTTGCGTCAGTTGAACCTTGTATGCATGCAAACACAGATATTTTGTCAAAATTCGTTACAGAGTGTCCTGGTAAGGTTAAATTCTTGGCAACGATGCCGAATGAAAGTGCCTGGATTCTCGGCCACATTTTCCCGCACTGCGACTATACAGGGTGTCCGAAAAGTTGGGGTTGTCCTTTTCAGAAACAACTACCCATGAAATAACAAAGGTAATGTGTAGTGAAACGAGGGCGACCAAGTAAAAAAAAATAAAGGAAAAAGTACTCACTCTCCAGTTGACGACAAGGGCTAAGTACGTCTCTGCCCGAAATCATACCGCTCCAACAGAAAATGAAATCAGTTGATGCGCTACCAAGCAGACGCAGGCAGTGGTGCAGACCACGAACAGAGGTAACAAATATGACGGCGTTGCCGCGTTTTCAGTTTTTAGGTAAACGTACTTTATGGGTATTGTTCGAAGTTATCGCCGTTTGATTCAAAAACACAGGTGCGTGCACGACGTAGCCAAGCATCGGTGCAGGCTTTGAGAATGGAGTCCCTCCCCCGAATGAAAGCACCAGCTTGTTCAATTTTGAGACAAAGTTCGTCAACCGTATGCACTTCAGTTTTGTACACTAAGCGTTTCTCCCCAAAAAAAAAAATCACATGGTGTTAAGTCTGGAGATCGCGGAGGCCACGCTACGGGTCCATTACGTCCGATCCACCTATTCGGAAATAATTCATTCAAAAACTCACGCACTTCGCGTCTAAAATGGGGCGGTGCACCATGGTGCAGAAACCTCATTGATTGTCTTACACTTAATGGCACATATTCTAACAAGGAACGCAAAATGTTGCGTAAAAAGTCTAGGTATTGCATCCCTTCCAATCGATTTGGGAGAATAAATGGTCCAATGAGCATACCGTTCACCATGCCAGCCCAAACATTCACCGAAAATGTTTTTTGAAAATGTGCCCGACGGACAGCGTGCGGATTTTCTACTGACCAAACATGAGTGTTGCGAAAGTTATTCACCCCATTACGCGTGAACGTAGATTCGTCTGTCACCGAAATGCACTTCAAAAAGTCCGGATTATTGTCATGTTGATGTATCAACCACTCACAAAACCGCACTCTTGCTGGAAAAGCGTCAGGTTGAAGGGCTTGTACACGTTGGACGTGAAACGGATACAACCCCTCTTCACGCAGCGTTTGCCACACTTTAGTTTTTGATATTTGCACTTCTCTAGCCACGTCTCTAGTGCTTGTTGAGGGATTCTCGACTACGCGATTCAGTAGTTCTTCCTCAACTTGCACCATTCGTGGTTGTCTAGGCCTCCCACTGTGCTCACCTCGAAATTCCTCCAAATGGCCCGTATCCCTGACTCTCTGGACCAGGTACACAAATCTGCGGGGCCTTGGATGATGTCGTCTAGGGAAACGATCTGCATACACTCGCGAAGCCTCTGTAGCATTTTGAAGACATTCGCCATAAATTAACAACATATCAACGAGTTCATTATTGGTGTATGAGTGACCTGAAACACTGACTCCGATCCAGTTCTGTCGTCGGGTTGAGCCAGTGACCTTGTACCACTCGGTGATGTCGCGGGTCGCGGCTACAGGACGGTATTCAGATATTTTTGATGTTGCAGAGCCCTTTATCTCGGTTCCCTTAAGACATTTGTGTATATGGTACTAAGAAAAATTGCTTATGTTTTCAAGATATACACGTCGTGTAAAGGAAAACCCCAACTTTGCGGACACCCTGTATTTTCGATGGACGGCAACAAACAGTGGTCTTCACATTGAGCAACGTGAATTTTGTCTTAAATTTTGTAATCAAATGGCGAACTGACGACTCATTTGGCGCATTATTGTACGTAGGTAATTTGTGAACTGTTTCCGCGTAACTTTCTCCATTTTTGTAGTGAGTTTTCACAATAAATAATTGAACGTTGCTCGTTTGGATAACGTCTAATCGCGTGGTCTGGACATGGCAGCAGTCATCAAGTAAACACCATAAAATTTGTACAAAAAAATGGCGGCAAATTTAAATCTGGCGCTTTTGTTGAGATACCATTTATATTGTGTGACTTGCTGATCTAAGCACTAACTCCATCTGATGTAAATGACACAAATTATGAATATTGACTGTCACTGTCAAGTGTCGCCATGCATCAGCAACCCAAAATGAACCAAAGGTCTCGGAAGCTCTTGTCATGATTGAAACAGGGAATAGGACAATACTTGAACAATTAGTTATTCCTTTGATGGGATCGATATTACCCCTTCTCCATAGTCTGGAGACACCAATGGCTTTACATATGTACACCTTGCATACAACCCTATAAACCTTTCAGGTCATTCAATTTCTCCGAAACTGCCTCTGGCATGAGTTATCCTTCAAAGGACGAAGGAAAATGTGGAAAACCATCGAAATGCAGGAAAAGACTGACACTAACCGGGGATTTTATGACCAGTGTGCCCGGAAACAAGCATCAGGGGTGGACTCTAAACAGTTCACCACAAAGGAATGTCGGGGCGGGCAATGGTGTCGAGGAGGAAAGAAGACTCGTTTTAGGTGATTATTCTCATTTTAAGCATTTTATGGTCATTTTTCACACAGCAATATGTCCCACTGATAGCTTATTAAAATAACCAAGGTATTCCTAAAGGCGAGGCTCTTGCGCCCCCAGACAGTGATAACATTCGGGTGTTTCGTCAGATAGGAAGACGCTGCCTGTTCTCTTCTCACCAGCTTATCTGCAAAGATCAGTTTGGCACACTCAGGTCGCCTTTATTCAAAGTGCTGT